CCAACAGGACTCCAGGAATTGCAACTGAAATGTTTTTAACAAACTAGTGCAGTGCTGGAAACACTCACTAATCTGTGCCAAGAAATCTGGAAGACAGCAACCTGGTCAACCGACTGGAAAAGATCCATATTTGTGCCCATTCCTTGTGCCCAAGGAAAGGTGACCCAACAGAATGTAGAAATTATCAAACAATATCAATATCACATCCAAGTAAAATTTTGCTGGAGATAATTTTAAACTAGCTGCAGCAGCACATGGACAGGGAGATGTGGGAAATGCAAGCCAGATTCAGAAGAGGATGTACAATGAGGGCTATTTCATTGCTAAGATCACATGAACCTTGGTGGAGAGCAGGGAATAACAGAAAGATGTCTACTTGAGTCACATTGACTCTGCAGAGACATCTGACTATAGATCATAACAAACCGTGGACGACATTGCAAAGAATGGGAATTCCAAACCGTGTGCTCATCGGGAACTAAGACGTAGGTAGACCTAGGGGCAGGTGTTCAAATAAAACAATGTTTAAACTTCATGGTTTAATATCAGAAAAGGTGTGTGCCTGGGTTGTATTCAATCTTATGTGATTGAATAAGATTGGATACTTCTTCAATCTGCAGGCTGAGCAAATAATCAAGAAGTTGAACTGTATGACAAAGAAACTCGTAAACAGAATTGAAAGAAAGCCCACTAACACCCCGTGATATACAAATGACACGACCTTGCTCGCTGAGATCAAGGGTGACCTGAGGCAATTGCTCATGAAGCATAGAGACTGCAGCCTGCAGGACGGATTGGAATTCAATATAAATAAAACAAAAGTTTTCGCAACTGGACCGATAGACAGCAACCTAATCACATACTTAGGTTGTCGAGGGTTTAATTTCCCTTGGACCCACCATCAACATTCATGGAAGCAGCCGTCAAAATCAAATGACAAATCTGCTGCAAAAGAGCTCTTTAAAATACCAACTATGTCCCGGGAGGTTGGGGAGAAGTGGGGAACTAATAACAATGAGGGCAAGAAAGAAGAAAATGTTCTAAAACGGATTGGACAACTCTTCCTCTATGATTGATCTACTGAATTGCATGATAGGTGCATTATATGCCAATAGAGCCACTTTACAAAATGGTAAATATATTCCTTTGAGGATCAAAAGCTTCAGGTTCTGGCCCTTCCCAAAATAAAGATTTACTTTGAGGCACAGAACTGAGTTTTCACACAAAGAAATTTTATTAAGAGTCGAGAGAGAAAGCGCCACACCAGTCTGCACAGATGGCTCTATGGTGCTTCGCTCCGCCCACCACGCAGGTGGAACTGCGCTTCAATTTTCGCTGGGAAGGGGACATTCCGCTGTAGGTAGTAAGACTTTCTGGGGGGGAAA